AAAACATTAATCAAGAAATACCAGGGCGCCTGGGTGGCTCAGTTGGTTGGGCGACTGCCTTCGGCTCAGGTCATGATCCTGGAGTCCCTGGATCAGGTCCCGCATCAGGCTCCCTGCACGGCGGGGAGTCTGCTTCTCCCTCTGACCCTCCCCCGTCTCATGTGCTCTCTCTCATTCTCTCTCTCTCAAATAAATAAATAAAATCTTTAAAAAAAAAAGAAATACCATATGCTGGGCCACAGAACAAGTCTAAGAAAATTTTAAAGAACTCAAATCAAACAGATTATGTTCTCTAACCAGAATACGTTCTCCGACCAGAACATAACTAAATTAGCATTAGTAACAGGAAAATATCAAGAAAACTCCCAAATATTTAGAACAGACTTCTAAATAACTCATGAGTCAAAGAGAAATCACAAAGCATATTCGAATATATTTTAAACTGAATAAAAATTAAAACATAGGGACCCCTGGGTGGCTCAGTCGTTAAGCGTCTGCCTTTGGCTCAGGTCATGATCCCAGGGTCCTGGGATTGAGCCCCGCATCTGGCTCCCTGCTCCTCGGGAAGCCTGCTTCTCCCTCTCCCACTCCCCCTGCTGGTGTTCCCTCTCTCGCTGTGTCTCTCTCTGTTAAATAAATAAAATCTTAAAAAAAAAGTTATAAATTTAAAAAAATGAAAACACATATCAAATGTGTGAGATGCAGCTAAAGCAGGGCTTTGAGGAAAATGTATAGCTTCATATGCTTTTATGAGAAAATAAAGATGTAATATCAAATAAGTAAAAGGAAATAATACAGATGAAAGTATAAATCAATGAAATAGAAAAAAGACAAAATATAGAGAACAATTAACTAAAAGCAGGTTCTCCAAAATGAGCAATAAAATTGATAAACCTCTAGCTAGATCAGATAAGGAAAAAAGAGAAAACACATTTCTAGTATATGGAATAAGAAGAGCCATCACTACAGATCCTTCAGACATGAGAAGGAAAAGAGTAATAAGGAACAGTATGAAAAAATTCTGTGCCAATAAACTCAACTTCTAAGATTAAAAAGGTAAATTTAATGAAAGGAATAAAAGGTTGTTTTAACAATCAAAAAGCAATTCTATAACATTATAAAGGAAGTAAATCATGAGCATCTCCATAGATGCAGAAAACACACCTGACAAAATTCAACACCCATTTATGATTAAAAAAAAAAAAAAAAACCTCTCAGCTAATTAAGAAAGGAACTGCCTCACCTTGATAAATTTATGAAAATGTATTAAGAAATGAAATGAATTAAGAATAGCTAACATAGTATTTAAAAGACTAAATGGGATGCCTGGGTGGCTCAATTGGTTAAGCAACTGCCTTCAGCTCAGGTCATGATCCCAGGGTCCTGGGATCGAGTCCCACATCGGGCTCCCGGCTCAGCGGGGAGCCTGCTTCTCCCTCTGACCCTCTCCCCTCTCATGCTGTTTCTCTCCCGCTCACTCTCTAATAAATAAATAAATACATAAATAAAATTTAAAAAAAAATAAATAAAAGACTAAATGATTTCCCCATAAAATTAGGACTAAGAAAAGGATGTCCACCCACATCACTTCTATTTAGCATTGTACTAGAAGTACTAGCCTGTGTAAAACAAGAAAAAAATACGAGGCATGGAGATTAGAAAGTAAGAAATAAAGGTGTTTTTATTCACAGATGACATGATTGTGTATGTAAAAATTCTGAAGGAATCAACAAAAAAGATGCTAGAATTAAAAAGTGAATTTACCAAGATCACAAGATAAAAGGTCAATAAAAAAAAATTGTATTTCTATGTTCATGGCCTGTGCAATGAGAACTAAGCCATATTGTTGAGAGAAATTAAAGCTATAAAATGGAGGAATATACCACGTTCATATACTGAAGACTCAACATTGTTAAGAAGTCATTTCTACCCAGATTGATCTCTAAATTCAGAACAATCCCAATGCACATACAGCAGGGTTTTTTGTAGAAATTGACAATCTGATTATAAAATTTATATGAAAATGCATATAAGATGCAAAGATCCTAAAAGGGTCAAATAATTTTGATAAAGAAAAACAAAATGGGAGGCCTTAAAATGTCTAACATCAAGATGTATTACAAAGCTACAATAATTAAGACAGTGTGGTATTGGCACAAGGATAAACACAGAGAACAATAGAACAGGAAAGAGTCCAGAAACAGATACAAACATTACTGCCTGAGGCTATATTGACTAAGAAGGGGAGGGCTCTATCATGGGAATGAAATGTACTATATCTTAATTGTGGTGGTTACATGGTATATACCTTTGTCAAACCTCACTGATGCTTGTACACTTTATTTTGCATTTAAAATGGATGTATTTTATTATATGTAAATTACACCTAAATAAAGATTATTTTAATACATATTTTGAAACAATCCCCCAAACTTATCTTTACTAATGTGAATCTAACCTAGAAAGGAACTAACAATTATTAAGGGCCTATAACATGCCAAACACTGGGTTCTGCACACTGAATTTTCACAATCATCTTCTAAAGTAGAAATTATTCATCAAATCTTTACATTTGAAGAAATGTTAGCATTTGCAAATTCAACCAGCTGTAAGTTGGGGAATCAAGAATCAAGCCTAAGTACACCTCTAATGCCCATGTTGCTACCACCACCACCCTCTTAGGTCTTTGCTATAGAAACTTCTTACCACAGCTACTACTATCCACCAAAATCATTTTTTAAGCCTACCTTGTTGTTGTTGTTTTTTAACCTTCCAAGACAAATCACTTGAAAATAGCTCCTGAATAATGACAATGACAGGCTCACCACTATGTGTTAAGTACCTCAAGCTACAGAATAAAAAATACATAATAGACTCATGAAGCTAAGTACAAGCAAATTTCAATTTAAGAGTCTTTCCAGCCTCACACAGCAAGGTAAGTGATAAAATTGTCTGTAATGCTCTTTACTGGTAGATTCTCCCACTGGGATTTTTAAACTTTGAATATATTTTTAAACTTTGAATTATATATTCGTGCCAAGGACTACATGGTTGAACTACCTATGCGTTAACCTGTTACAAAACAAAAATTCTGAAATTTAACACCTAAAAGTATTAGGCAAACAAAGAACCACAAATAGTGACCAAGATCTTTACTGCCCTAATGTTACAAAAGGCGTAAAAATATCCAAGAGGAGACCCAAGGAAAGAATATGGGAGAAGATGGGATTTGAGATGAACACGAAAGGAAGAGATTTACAGATGGCCTGAGGACAGCTGACATCAGGAACATTCCTTGTCCTATGGACTTTCTTAATTCATAAGTCTTAACTGGGAACCACAGGAGATGATAGTTCCAGGAAAACATACTTTTGCTGTCTTTGCTTGTAACAGCAAGAAATCGTGCCACCAGAGCTCTGCTGCCAGTATTACTCCTCCAAGTGTTCTTCACTCCCATCTTTGGTCCCAGGAATACCCCTTGGCGAAATGAGTGTGATGACTAAATAGGAAACCGATGGTATCGCTTCTACCACCATCTTCAAATCCAAAAGACAGTCTTCATAATGTACATATATTCCTCTTACGTGTGTTGGACTGGATGTTCCTCACAGATCAAAAAATTGGACTGGGAAAGCTCATGTTTCAAAGTTACCTAGAGGGTGTCACTAGAGAGAACTGTAAGCAGACATGCTGACTGCTTTCCCTGTTGACACTGGACTAAAACTTGGAAGCTTGAAAGATGGAGATGTTATTACACAGCTCAGGATGGTGTCATCGTAAGGCTTCATTTCAGTGTTCCCATAAGTCTTAAGGGCACATATTTATAACTTTCACTTATCACTTATCAGGGTAAATTTAAAATTGATTCATAAAAAATTATCTTTTTCTGGATTTCCAAGGACACAGAAATTTGTGAACAATAGTATTTTTACTTCTTAAATGCTTTTTTCCCCTCCTAATTCTTCTACTCCCCAACATTATCTGTTAATGGAGTTTTGTGCATATCCTTTTGGGGTATACTGATAAATAAAGTGATATGCAAGTAGTCTCATGGGCCCACACATTAGTTTTAATTTTCTATGCAGTGAACATGCTTATATATAATTTTTAATTTCTCCACCTAATTTGTTGAAATAGTCCCAGTAGTTCCACTTCATAGGAATTAAGGATATCCAAAATTTATATTTTGAGTCAAAAGTAGAGGTTTCCCCAAAATAGTAGATTGTCATCAATCTTATCCCCCAGTGTTTGTCTACGAGACTTTTTCTAAAACAGTACAAACATTAGATGTCAGTGTTTTAATCTTTGACAATATGACATTACAAAGAAATTGCTTTTCTTTGGTTATTGCTAAGTTCAAACATCTTCATATATCCTTAAACCTTACTACTCTTTTGTTATTTCACTTTCCTCTGTGTTTTGTTTTGTTTTTTTCATTTCCCTTGGAATATTAGTGTCTTTGTTACCGGTTTCTAAAGAGATCATTTATGACTAAGGATGTCAACCATTTGCCAAAGGAAATACCATGTTTTCTCACCAACATTTTACAGTGATGTTTTACTTTTTGGTTGTACAGAAGTTGCATTTTGAAATATAATAATTTTCTGCTTTAAAAAAATGTATACCCGGGGCGCTTGGGTGGTTCAGTTGGTTAAGCGACTGCCTTCGGCTCAAGTCATGATCCTGGAGTCCTGGGACTGAGTCCCGCATCGGGCTCCCTGCTCAGCGGCGAGTCTTCTTCTCCCTCTGACCCTCTTCCCTCTCATGCTCTCTGTCTCTCATTCTCTCTCTCTCAGATAAACAAATAAAATCTTTAAAAAAAATAAAAATAAATAAATATATACCCAAGAGGAAGGCAGCAGAAAATATCGTCCGAAAACTTCAAGATAGAGGAGCTAAAGGTGAGAAATAAGTAAGTGTACTTACTTTGGGTGTTAAATTAACACTACCTTGTGTAAAAATCACATTTTTACTAACTCACATAGACAATGCATACTTACAGTTATGTGAACATTGAGGAATCATCATTGCAATGTTGAAATATTCAAAGCAAATTCCACACCGCAGCAAATCATCTATTGTCTGAAATGCAAAAATACATATATACCTATCAGAAAAACACCAAGACTGGAATGTCTGCCACAGAACTCTTTCTCCATCCCCTAAAAAAAACAATTTAAGAATACTCTTCTGTCAAATATACAAATTCAAAATTAACTCCACATAAACTGCAAGGAATCTTGACAAATCAAGAAAAACCTTCCTCATATGACTTACACATTCAATCGTCAAGTTACCGAAAAAGCTTTCGACAGATAAAGTGGACACTGTACAGACTCCTGGTCCATACTGTCAACCCTTTACAAAAGGGCTACTCCACTTCTGTTCCATTAACCATGTGTTTCCAACTTACTCCAAGCTTCTTCCTCTTCAAACCCCATTCCCTGGCCCACAGTCACTGTTGAGTGAAAGGTACCAATAACCATTCACCACACAGGTTAAGAACAAAATCAGAGACTATTAAAGCCAAACATCAGAAAGCATCTAGTTAAAACCCTTACTTCACAAGTGAGGAAGCACACACAAATAACTGGGCATGAGTCAAGCCAGGACTAAACTTCCTGTCTCCCTGCTGGCTCAGTCCAGTGCTTTCTGCACAGTCCCACATGTTAATTACTACATGGTGGAGCCAACTGAGGAAGCCCTGGAAAGAGCTGGAGCCAGTGGTGGCAGAAGAAGGTAAAGACGTGGTCAATCTGAGAAGTCAGACATATGTGTGTCAGCCTGGAATGCAATCCAAATAGGAAAGGATCTATTCTCACAATGCAAAATCTTCTAAATCATTTAAAATTTATTCCATTCAATAAGAATAATGAGCGGTTTTTAAGAGAAAAAAAAAAAAAAGACAGAGCTCACTCATGTACCAACATGGAAAGATTGCCAAAATAAGAGCAAAAAAGAAGTCAGGTAGGGGCACCTGGGTGGCTCAGTCAGTTTAGCGTCTGCCTTCAGCTCAGGTCATGATCCCAGGGTCCTGGGATCGAGCCCCTCGTCGGGCTCTCTACTCAGCGGGGAGCCTGCTTCTCCCTCTCCCTCTGCCCCTCCACCCCACACATGCGCTCACTCTCTCTCTCACTCATAAGTAAATAAGATCTTTAAAATGAAATTTAAAAAAAGAAGGTATGCTACTGTTTGTTAAAAAAAAAAAGAGGGCGGAATAAAAATGTATTCTATTTTTACCTTGTATACATATAAAGAAATCCTGAAAAGTTACACAATAAAGAAATAATAGTAACAGAAGTAAAAAAACTGGATAAAGGACAGACTGGGAGGGAGACTTACTCTTTGTTTCACATTTTTAAACCATGAGTGTATTACCTAAATTTTAAAAATACAAACAAAAAAAGACTAATGTCACTAACAATCTATATGATGAAATATTATGTAGCCACTTAAAAAAAAAAAACACGCTTTCAAAGAATAATTAATGCCATGAGAAAATGTTCATGTTTTAATGGAAACTTAAAAAAATCATAGAATAAACCTACAATACATTACAATAGAATTATACAGTTTAATCTCCCTAACAATCTTATGAAGTCTATAGCACCTATTCCAGTTTTACAGATGAAGCCTACAGTGCTTATAAGTGGTCGAATCAAACCCAAGAAATCAACTCCAAAGTGATCCCAGATTTTAAATGCATATACACATCATACACGCACATTAAACAGCAAAAATATTAAACCATGGTTACCTCCAGATGGTAGGGTGATGGGGAACTTTCATTTTCTCCTTTATCCTAATCGGAATTTTAATTTTTTCTACTATATACACATACTCCATTTATAATCTGCCAAAACCAAAAGTCCTGTTACTATAAAACCAGGGAAATAAACATAAAAATGCCAAAATCTTCCATTATTTTGGATGGTAAGCTACCATTGACACAAAAAGCTAGAGGACTGTGTTGCACACCAATTAAGAGCAGAGGCGGGGCTAGAAGCCAGAGTCCTGGCATCTCTATTGTGCTTTCTTCTATATACCACCCTTTTCTGGAGGAGTGGTTCAGAAACATACTGAGCAAGATTTGTGGAAGGTGACACTGTATCAGATGAGCGATAATATTTTTATACAAACTTCTAGTCATACCATTTCAAGAGCGTAACATGCACTCCACTAAACAGAGAGCAGTTAAGTGGATGCTCTAGGACTTCTTCAACTTAGAAGAGGGGAAAGTGGAAGGGGAAAGTAGGAAATGAGTGAAAAGACTTAATACCTAGAGGAAAGGTTCTTAAGTTTTTTGGGTCACAGATCCCCTTATACATATGAATAAAAACTACGAACTCTCTTCTCAAAAAAACCCACACAAACAAAACTCTTATAAATAATTCTGGATACGAAAGTCTTTCCATGGATCCTAGGTTAGCAACCATGGATTTGGAATCAGATTTTATTTAGTATAAGAAAGAATTTCAAAATTAGCTGCTACTTCCAGGAGCAGCTAATTCCTGGAAAAAGTTCAAGCAAAAACTAGGTGAGAAATTGACAAATACATTACAAAGAGATTAAAATACATAGATCAATGGAAGAGGAAAGAGAGCCCACAAATAAACCAACACCTATACAGTCAATCTACAACAAAGGAGGCAAGAATATACAAAGGGGAAAGGACAGTCTTTTCAACAAATGGTGTTGGGAAAACTGCAAAAGAATGAAACTAGACCACTTTCTTATACCACACACAAAATAAATTCAAAATGGATTAAAGACTTAAATGTGAGTCCTGAAACCATAAAACTACTAAAAGGAAAAACAGGCCGTAATCTCTTGGACATCACCTGAGCAACGTATTTATAGATATGTCTCCTCAGGCAAGGGAAACAAAAGCAAACATCAACTATTGAGACTACACAAAATAAAAGGCTTTGCACAGCAAAAGAAATCAGCAACAAAACAAAAAGGCAACCCAGTGAATGGGAGAAGATGTTTGCAAATGATATATCCCATGAGGGTCAATATCTAAAATATAGAAAGAACTTACACAACTCAACACCAAAAAACCCCCAAATAATCCCATTAAAAATGGGCAGAGGACCTGAATAGACATTTTTCCAAAAAAAGACATACAAATGGCCAACAGATACATGAAAAGATGCTCAACATCACTAATCATCAGGGAAATGCAAAACAAAACCATCCTGAGATACCACCTCACACCAGTCAGAATGGTGTGAATCAAAAAAAGAAATAACAAGTATTTGTGAGGATATGGAGAAAAGGGAGCCCTCCTGCACTGTCGGTAGGAATGTAAACTGGTGCAACCACTATGGAAAACACTGTGGAGTTTCCTCAAAAAACTAAAAACAGAAATATTATGTGATCCGTAATTCCACTACAAGGTATTTACCCAAAGAAAATGAAAACACTAATTTGAAAAGACACATGCACCCCTATGTTTATTGCAGCATTATTCACAATAGCCAAGATAGGGAAGCAACCCATGTCAGTGAAAAGGTGAATGCATAGAGAAGATCCGGTGCATATATATATACAATGTAATATTACTCAGCCCTAAAAAAGAATAAGATCTTGCCATTTGTGACAACACGGATGGACCTAGAGGGTATTATGTATGCTAAGTGAAATAAGTCTGACAGAAAGGCAATACCATATGATTTCACTTTTATGTGGAATCCAAAAAACAAAGCAAATGAACAAACAAAAAACAGACTCTTAAATACAGAGAACTGGTGGTTGCTGGGGTGGGGGGGATTGGGCAAAATAAAGAGTAGTAATAGGTACAAACAATTAAAATAAAATAAAGAGCTATTAAAAAAACAGAAAAGAAAATACTGGAGGGGGCTGGCTTTCCACCATGATTCTAATATGGGCTCAATCAACTCCATCACTGAACACTCTCAGGTGCTGTGGTGAGACATCAAATCCGTAGAAGACATGGAACCTGCCTCTAAAGAACTCTGGAAGTTGTGGTAAAATATGCTTAAATCTACAAAGCAAGAAGCTTTACAAACTACAAAGCTTTTACTTCCTTTATCCAATTCAATCTTCAAAATAACAAATAAAATAACAAATAAAAAGGGGGGAAAGAAACAACACATGTTAAGTGCTAATAATTATAATAAAGACATATTAACTGAATGCTTACTCCTTCCAGATACTTAGAACCTTCAACCAATTAGCAAATAATCTTTAAGCATGCACTATGTGCCAGACATTGTGTTAAGCACAGTGAATAAGCCAGCTAGAATCCCTATTCACACAGATCAACTCATTTAACCAACACTATAAACTGTTTATTTTTGTCTCCACTTTACAGTTGAGGAAATTCAGGCTCAGAGAGGTTGAGTAACCAACCCAAGATAACACAGTTAAATAAGAGCCAGAGACCAGATTTAACCCAAGACCACTGGAACTCAAATCTATGTTCTCCTCCAAAGTACCTTGATACCAAGGCCACCACAACTCCAAAACTACATCTTTCCTAGATCCTTCCCCAATGTCAGCTTTTCACGATGGGGCTATCTCAAGTCCCCAAGCACCGTAGATGACACTGGTGATGGCAAGAAGAAAGGCCTTATACTTACTTTAACCTCCCCCAAGTCCCTTCACTTAATCCTCAAAGTCAGTCTTATGAGTCAGCGGGGACAGATACCATAATCCCCATATTTACCACACTGAGGAGTAGAACTAGAAAGTGATCTTGCACACAGTCACAAACAGAAATACATAATTACAGATCAAGAAGAAAAACGAAGTAACTGATTCTTAGCTAGCACAGCAAAATGTGTTTGCTCTTCTTGATCAAGCACACAGGGCTCACTGCTACTGTAAATGGAACTGGAATGCCTTGCCAATAACCATGCCAAATAACCATGTTATTTAAGTGAAATAATATAATGAAATGAAAGGCTAGTGCTGAGCCTGAGCCCTGATCTCGTTTAAAAGAGATACAAACTGTTAAGAGTTAGGACACGTCAGGAGAAGCCAATCAGCACTAGGTAGTTATAAGAAATGAAAAAATGTAAAGGAAATGGGAAATTCTCAAATAATGTGCCGCAAGAGTTTACATATGCTTGACAAGTAGTAGGCCCTCAGAAAGGGTTAGTTGTCACTGTCGTTTTCACTGCTTAGAGTGACTATTTTTCTCGAGGTCATTGTTATTGCTGTGGCTGAACCGCTTAATACCCGGTTCCATAAGACGGCCAACCTAAGCTCACCACGAGGGACCGAGGCCTGACCCCGTCACTTCTCGGCAGGAGGAAACTGAGGCCCAAATCTACCAAGTCTCTAAGTGGCAGGGCAGAGCCGGGTACCCTGGCCCAGCTCGCACCTCGCGCCTCCTCTTTTCTCCTTCTCACACCGGGACTGGCCTCCCGCGGACACCCGGGAACTCCCACCTCCCCAGAGCACTCACCTTCATGACTGCCAGGCCTGGAGGCCACCGAGGCTCGACTAGGGAGTCCATGGTCTCTCCTAGGTAGGCCGGTGGGGGTTCCAGCACCCACTGGCCTCCAGCGCTCCACCGCCACTCGAAATTCCCCGCGCTACGGCGTTACGTCACCAGTCAGCGACGCGCCTGAGGCGTGTGCGGAGCCTGCTGGGAGTTGTAGTACAAGGGAAGAGCGCGGCAAAGACGCTCTCACTGCGCACGCGCCAAGCTTCCCCTTTGCTTCTCAAGGCAGGTAAGTGGCTAAAAAGCCCACATCATGTTTTGTAGCAGACCCTTGTTAAATAAATGCCTGTTGACTGTTAGGAAAAGACAGTCAGGAATCAAACTAAATCCGGACCTTGACAAACCGTTCAAGGTCTAGCCTCATGCCTCCTCCTCACGTTGCCCTCCGTGATTGCTATACGGATCTGTCCCTGCTCTGAGTAGGGGTTTTCATATCTATTATTTCATCTCACCCATCACAACACTAAGAGATAAATGTTACCATTGTTAGTCTACACAAGAGAAAGCTTCCGCTCAAAAAAAGTGAATAGAGTTTCCTTGAGTCATAGAGTGTCATTGCCCAGACTACAAATAAGGGCCTCTGGACTTTAAACAGGAGTGCTTTCTTTTCTCAAAATAAAATTTTAATTTTATTTTTTTCTGCAGGGATAACCACCTTAACTCTGGCGTGTAGCCTTTCAGATGTCCAATGCAGATATACAGATACAGCTTTTCCCCCCACAAATATTATTATATTAAATGCATAGCTTTGTCAACTTGAGTTTTCTGTTTATTTAACCATACATCTTAAGACCTCTCCGTATTAATAATGTACATATTTACCTCATTCTTTTTAATAGCCACATAGTCCATAACATAGATGTACCACAATTTATTTGCCTACCATACTGTGGAGCATTTGGGTTATTTCCAGTTTTTCACTATTGCAAAGAGTTGCAATGAACACACTACCTATATAAATCTTGGTGCACTTGGGCCAAGGTATCTGGGGGATGATTTCCTATAAATGGAATTACTAGGTCAATTTGTGAATTTGTTTCCTCTTTTAAAATTATGATAGCACTATATGATTTTCCAAAGACGCTGATTTATACTAATACATTTATACATTTATAGTCTCACCAGGCAAGTATAAAAATGCCTGTTATCAAAAAAAAAAGAATGCCTGTTATCCAAATGTGAAGCTGACCAGCACACCTCCCAGTCTGCCCATTTGATTCAGTACTCACCCACGGCTTGATGTGGGTCTCTATTGCACCAGGTCTCAAGACCAGCTGGTCAGCAGTTACGTTGCTCAGGGCAGACCCCTGCTGCTTGCTACTGCTGCCCAACATAGTCCATGCATTCATTCATTCAACTTTTTTTAAGTGCTTACCCTTGTCCAAGCACTTGAGCTACCCTACGAAGTAGGCAGAGGTGAAGTTGTTGTCGTCATCATGCAGACAAAGACACTGAGGCTCAGAGAGGTTAAGGCTTTGCTTTTTTCGGCCATCTTCATGAGAAACTCTGGCCTCCAAGCCAGAGCTGTATTCAATTGATTTTTCCCAGCCTGTGCCCACATATTCATTGGGCACTAATATTAACAGCATTTGGACAAAGGACTTTAATACCCATTACAATAATAGCTGACATTCATTAGGCACTTGCATGCAAAGTACTGTTCCAGGTGTTTTTATACAATTTGACTTATTTCAGACTCACTCCAACCAAATGAGGAAAGGGGACTAAAAAGATAACCTGCTTAGGGCATTCTGCTGGTAAGTGGAAGAGGAAGGATTTGAACTCAGGCAGTCTGGCTTAAGAGTCCATATTAACCATTACAGAATAGTCTCATAAAAAAAAAAATCATCAGGAGAATTATTCCCATTTTATAGATGAGGCAACTGAGTCTCAGAGAGGTAAAGGGATTCGTTCAAGATCACACAGCTTGTCAGTGGCAAAGTCCAGCCTTGAATCTGGGTCTTCTAACCCCCCATAAAAGATCATCCGCTGACACTTTACGGCGGAGTAACTGAGCAGACAAGGCCTCCCAGGTCAGAGGTCTGAGACTCCCAGGGTGCCTCACTTTGTGGGCCTCCAACAGGACGGTGGGGAGTGGCCGAGAGGGGTGGAGGGTCAGGGGGCTGCAAAGGGTTTGTATCGACCAATCAGAAAAGGGCATGCAAATGAACTCCAAGAGGCGTTGCCGGAAGTGGATAATGGGGCGGGGGACACAGGCTTGGAGAGACTAAGAGCAGGTCCCAGAGCTGACTGCACTAGTGATCTCCCCTTTATATAGTACTTGTAGGTTGAAGATGACAAAAGGCTGAGAAGGTGAGAGAAAAAGAATAAGGAAGGAGAAAGAGAGAGAAAAGCATCCTTCCCGTTGATTCAACCATGAAGACAGATTTGGGACAGGCATCACTTGTTGGTCCTGGGCTCCAGATCCATCTCTCCATCTCTGGAGAGCCTCCAGGGCAGCGCCCAGTGCCATTCATCTCTGAGTTCCTGCCACCAGCTGCTCAGTGCGACTGAGGAAGTGAATCACCGGAATCAGCCCACTTTCCCGTGAATCTCTTCCTCGCAGGCTGAACGATACACACTTCCTGCCCTCTTCGACAGTGCCTACTCAAGCCCAACTCTGGGCCCGGAAAGGAACGTCCAAGCAACAGCACAAGCAGCTTCTGAAAGCAGCTCGGACTTCAGGACGAGGCATTTGCCTTGCCCTCCCCATGGTATTTACCCGACCCCTTGGAGCTAATCTGCTCTAACAAGCTGCTGTTTTCGCAGACATTCTCCTTCTGTTAGATCAGTAAAGAGACTACTTCCTTATTCAGGAGTGAAAACAAAATGTTCCATATTTAAAAAGCAGGCTAATGCTCAGAAGAATCTCCCTTTGCACTTAGCACAAAGTGACGATTGGGGGTAGGGCCACCAGAGAAAATACAGGATGCCCTGTAAATTTCAATTTCAGATAAACAGCAAACAATTTTTTCGGGGCACCTGGGTGGCTCAGTTGGTTAGGCAACTGCCTTCGGCTCAGGTCGTGATCCTGGAGTCCCGGTATTGAGTCCCACGTTGGACTCCCTGCTGGGCGGGGAAATTGTTCCTCCCTCTTATCCTCCCCCCTCCTGAGAGAGCTCTCAAATAAATAAGTAAAATCTTAAAAAAAAAAAAAAAAAAAGCAAACAATTTTTTAATATAAATATATCCCAAATATTGTACATGACATATTTACACTTAAAAAGAGATTCACAGGGGTGACTGGCTGGCTCAGTCAGTAGTAGAGCATGCGACTCCTGATCTCAGGGTTATGAGTTAGAGCCCCACGTTGGGCATAGAGATTACTTTAAAAAAATAAAATAAAATCTTTAAACAAAAAAAGATTCACTGTTTATCTGAAATTCAAACTTAACTGAGAATCTTACAGTTTTATTTGCCAAATCGGACAACCCTAATCAGGGAAACATCCTCCCAGGGGATTGTGGAGGGCAGCCAGGCTGCACCCCGAGGCCTCCCAGGGCCCCGAGTTCCTTTGCAGTGTCTCTCTTCATCACATTCCTCTCTGTTCTCCATTCTCTCCCCCTGAGGACCCATCCTTGCTCTGGTCCTGGGAGGGAGGACTGAAGGAGCTTGGGACCTAACCCTCCTTTCTTCGCGCCCTTCTTCCCCTCCCCTATTGAGCCGCTAGGGGGTGCTAAAGCAGCCCTTCTTGTGGAAGGGTGTGGAATCACCTTCTGTGCTGGAAGGTGGAAGTGAACAAGAGAGCCGTGGTCCCTGCTCTCAAGGAACTGACGCCCTGGGGGGAGGATGGGGCCCAGACAGAAACAAGCAAGAATGTAAGAAAGTGAATAGAGAACTTAATAAAATGCTGAAGTGATACGGGAGCAAAAAATGATGATGTCATAAAGAGTGGGGAGCATTATAAACTGGCTGATGTGGGAAGTCCTCTCAGAGGGTGACATTGGTGTCAGGACCCAACTAATAAGACAGGGGCAGCCATGCAGAGACCTGGGGGTGGAAGGCTCTGGGCCTTGATAAAAAGTTTGGATTTTAATCCATGTTAACTCAGGCAAGTTATTGAACCTCCCTGCACCTCAATTTTCTTATCTGTAAAATGGGGATGATAATAGTATTTGCCTCATAGTCACGTCATGAGAATTCCATGAGTTTTTGTAAGGAAGGTGCCTGGCCCAGGGCCTGGCAACTAACGAGAGCTGTGTAAGTATCAGCTGCCATTGTTAGAATGGGGCTGTGGGCACGGAGGGTCTCAGGGACAGGACTGAGAGTCACACAGACCCCAATTTGCATCCATACCCTTCCACTTACCATGTGAACTTGCATAAGCCACTTATCTTTCAGAGTCTCAGTTTCCTTTTCTGTAAGGTAAGAATAAGAATGCCTACCTCTGAGGGTTGCCATAATGATTACGTTTTTTGGATGTTGGGAAGCACCTGGTAGGGCATCTGACAGTGGCTCTGGAAATAGGAGTAACAGTCTCAATTATTACTGTCATTGTCACTAAGACACATTATTAACCAGAGGACATGGAGGTTAAGAGCCCTAGCTCTGAAGTCAGGCTGCCTGGGTTCCAGTCTCAGCTCCACTGAGTGCTAGCGCACAAACTGTGGTTTCCAAATACTGTTTCCATGGAAAGGAATCTGGGCTCCGTGGAGACATGGCTGAGTTGAGGTCTGGGGGCAAAAGAGGTGCAAGATGAGCCTGAAGCATCTTATTGTGCCCCCAAATAAGGAAGATGTCAAAAACTAATAGAACTGGATATTTATCAGGTTCCAAATGATCAGACCACAATTTACTTGCTGTTGATAGGGAAAATTCAGCTTTTCAATGGAGGGATGAGGGTGAATCCACCCTAACCTACTGGTCAATCTTACCATCTGTAGAAGTGGGTACCACAGGGGCGCCTGGGTGGCTCAGTCGTTAAGCATCTGCCTTTGGCTCAGGTCATGGTCCCAGGGTCCTGGGATCGAGCCCCACATCGGGCTTCCTGCTCTGCGGGAAGCCTGCTTCTCCCTCTCCCACTCCCCCTGCTTGTGTTCCCTCTCTTGCTGTGTCTCTCTCTGTCAAATAAATAAATAAAATCTTAAAAAAGAAGAAGAA